ACAGGTTCCAGTCTGATAAAACCCATCCGTTTAGCTTCTGGGAAAATCAATCCTCCTAAGTGCAGACCTTGGCAAGAACAGACAGCTCTGGCAGGCATCAAGAGTTCCGTCTCTCCTCCTTCCACCAAAGCAAAGAGTGTTTTTTCCTTTAGTATTTACCGTGAAAACCTTCTGGCAATACTGGAAATAGACTCACAATGTGTAGGGTGCCTGATGACTGACCAAGTGCCCTGGGATTTTTCACCAACATATTCACATTGAGCCCTCAGCATTTTACCAATTACAGTTTGGGTTTTTCCACCCCCGACCATTCTCAGGGAGATTTCTGCTTGAATTTTCACCCAGTAGGATGTAATTCCTCAGTCTGATTGTCTATCTTTCCAATTTGGGGAGCTACAGTTTGCCCTGTGACCTCATTTCTCTGAAAAATATGAAAAGTTGTTGATTGTTTTTGGTTTGATCACATTTTTAGCTCTTTTAAAAATATTTTATGTTCAAATCAGTGTGTGTGTATGAGTTTGCACTCGTCCTGGGTTTGTTACTCTACCATTCACCTTGCTTTGTTTCTCGTGGTTCTCTTTCTGGGACACAGGCCCCCTCTCTCCTGTCTTCCTTTCCAGTGAGGGTCATCTCAGTGTGGCAGAGGACACCTCTCATGCAGGTCAACGTGACCTTGGGCTTCACAGGTTTGGTGATACTTCTTGGGTGCTTTGTTCATTTGGATGTGTTCAGTGGCCAGAGGATCTATGTCTAAACCTTTCAGTTCAACATTCCTTTCTCCATTTTCAAGCCTACATAGCAAAATTTCACACTATTTTTTGGTCCACTAACACTTTGTCCACCCCATCCCCTCCCTCCTGGTTTGGCCTGGGCACACCTACCAAGTCTGTTGTTATATCACCAGAGTGACATACATTACTTCCTTGAAGTGACATGTTCAGGTAGATTTTCAGATGTGTAGAACCCCCAAAGCTCAGGGAACTTGACAGGTATTACAGTGAACACTAAGTACACTTGAATTACATTGTTTGTAAGGTTTTCTGAGCCAAGAGAGAAGGAAGCCATCAGAGATTACTTCATGCCACTCAGAGGAAGAGAGCCCATTCTTTGTACCTCCTATGAGGAAAGACTCTTTAAGTTGGCCTACTCTTTCACAGACCTGCTCTTTGGTGCAAAGTTTTAAAAAATATTGATGAACAACAAAATTGGCAGAAAATCTGTCTCAAGTATAGCAATTTGAAATTATTAAGATTTGGGTGTGGTTATTTATTTTTACTTATTCAATTAAATGTTGACTGAATATCTGATCCTCCAAGATGTAGAGCATCTTTAGCATTGTTCAGAGCTGACTGATACTTTAATGAGTGATCATCAATGCTGAGTACATTGTTTCACATAAATACATAGTGCAGAAGGCATAAATCTTCAGGGCTGTTTCAGACTTTTTAAAAATTTCTACCCTAATTCTAGGCCAAATACACTGAATGACTTTTCTAAAAAGTGAAAGATAAGTCAGAAAGCAATTCAAACAGCAATTTTTAAAGGTTGATTTTTATATTTGTTTTGTTTATAATTTTTGTTTTTTATATTTTAAATTATGTGCACATGTGTGTATCTGTATATGAATGTGTGTATCTGGGAGTCCAGAAGAGGGTATCTGATCCCCTGGAGTTGGAGTTACAGTTGGCTATGAATCACCATATATGCTTACTGGATGTCTAACTCAAGTGCTCTGGAAGAGCAGTAAACACTCCTAAGCATCAAACACTCCAGCTCCACAAACACAGTTTTTAAAATCATAACATTCTAACTCAATCCCATTCAATGATATAACCATTCTATGCTCACACGCTGCTGAATGACAATAGAAAAATTTGTTGGTTTTTTTTTTTTTTGTAATTAAACTATTACATTTCTATAAGAGCTGGAGACTTTGCATTTACAGTAAAAATACTGCAACTCACATCATATGGTAGTCTCAAGCTGGGCAGAGGCGTTTCAGGCTAACTGAGTTTGTTGGAATTGCATGATATGTGAGCGGGCTTGGTGTGAAGTGAGCATGGGCTGCAGGGAAGTCAGGTGATGTAACACAGGTGAGCACTTCCAGAAACACCTTGGATTCACTGTGCATCTGATTTGATTTGGGCCGTTGCTCAGTCATAAGTCTTCTTCCAGCTTTTTCAAGACCCCTACATTCAATTAGGACCCCCTATGAGGTCGTGACTCCAAGTTTAAGTTACAATCTAAATAGAACAAAGGGCCGTGGGGATGAGATGCAAAGAGTCTGAGACAGTAGCAACATGAAGTACCCTAAAAGGGAAAAGCAATGTCTGCGGCAGCTGCCCGTGTCCCTGTTCCTGTGCATGATAATTTCCCCTGTCTCCAGCAGCGTGCTCTGACCTGCCTGCCTCTGCATCTCTACCTGAGGTCTTTTCTTCAGATGGCCAGAAGGTCACTGTCCATCTCTCGGGACAATGACACGGGAGGAATAACACTCCAAATGGAGCTCTCAACCAGCAACTGGCACAGCTGGTGTGCGAACAGGGCAGCTGCTTCTGCCCACGGGCGGGATGAGTTTGCATGGGTTTTGTTTCTCAGAATTCGCCCACAGGACTCAGCTCTAGCCACCCACTGTGGGTAATGCCCCACTTCCCCTTTCCTTACCAATGTTTTCAAAGCATCCAAAATAAAGTGCACAGACTCCAGTTCACATCACAAAGTCTGCTGTGGGAAACCCAGAGTTAGTAGCCTATTGGGGAGGGACCGAACAACAAAGAGAACTTAGAAAAACAAACAAATGAGCATAAGTTGGGTCATAGGGTATAGGGCCTTCATTAGCTGGATTGAAAACATAAATATCCACTGATGGATTCAAACTTTGAACCGGCTATGGGGAAAGAGTGAAACTGTGGCAGGTGGGTCTGTTTTGAGGAAGTCACTGGGTGCTGTATTTTGTCCTGGTCGTCCTGTTGCTTTGCTTCCTGCCCATAAGGACACAGGCCGCTCTGCCAGCTCCTCACCATGATGAAGTGAAGCCTCTGAACCCGTGGGCAAAACGAACCTTTTCTCTTAACTTGTTCCTATCAAGTATTTGGTGGCAGTGGTGATAAAAATGATCACATACACTAAGGCATTATCATTTATCTAAACTTTAAATTCAACTGGGCCCCTTTATTTTATCTGGCAATACTATGTGATTTAGAAAGGATTTGGGACATTGTCTGCATTTCAGCAAAGCTGAGAGACCTATGAAGAAGTGCTAACATTTCCTAGGACCAGACCTCAGTAAGTAGGCCCATGGGGGAAGTGGAGAGAAGATGTAAAGCATTTGGAAAGCTATCTATACCCCTGAGATTAGCAGAAAGACAGCAGAATTACCTCAAGAGGAAGAAAAGAGATCTCCAAACTCAGTTCAGATACCCTCAAAATGCCCCACAACTGATCAGAAAATGTCACTAAGCCTGTCATCCAGGGATTCCATTTGTGATGTTCTCCTGCCCATCCCAGGACACACCTTTCTGGGCTAACATCTGTCCTGTCCCCTGACAAACCTCTAATCTCTGATGTCTGCCTCTAGGAAGGACAGAATCATCAGCTCTGCCAGGCAAGGAGCAAGAAGGAAAAGCAAATTCTCTCTTAGCACCTTTCCTCTCTGTTTCCCTGAGATAAAGTTTTCCCTCTAAGATAACCTCCACTTATGATGCTCACATTCCTCAGTCAGGAACTTCCACTTATGATGCTCACATTCCTCAATCAGGAACCTTCACTTATGATGCTCACATTCCTCAATCAGGTCAGCAAAACCCATTCTACTCATGGAGATGAGATAGGAAACGTGTTTTTATGAGCCACTCTGTGTGGAGAATTCTTCCCTTTCATTTCAACTTTTGTGAAGAAACTTCTATTCCCATGGGAGAACACTTCAAAAACATTAGATTAAAAAGGAAAGAAGAAAAATGAAACCCATTATAGCAATGGGTTCTCTCTTCTGTTTTGTTCTTTCTGCAATTTGTACAATGCACACCAAAGACCATTAGGGAACATAATTTGAATTGCTTCACTCTAAAATTAAAGTGTTGAAAGAAAAAAAAATACTGCAGCAAAATGAAAGCCGGGCCTTCTTTCATTTTGTAATACATGAATTTATTGTAACTTTCATTTTTGAATTTATCCCAGACTAAAATTCCATATATAGACTCTATAAAAAGGAACATGTATGAACTATTATCTAAAATGTCAGGGTTTTTTCACTGTTATTTTACATTAACCTACATTTATATATATCTACACAGGTTCAGTAGAGTGACTGAGTAAACCAAGCTATAACTCACATGTATGTTCAGCAATCTTGCAATAGTCAAGCAGGGACCCAAGGACCCAAGGATCTTTTGGTTATTTACAAATGGTATAAGTTAAAATTTCTTCAGGAGCCTCATGGGGTAGGTATTTCTCTTCCCATTTTATAATTGTAGAAATGGAGGATCAGAACATATTCTTTCTCCAGTCATTATACTTCCAGGATTGTGAAAAACAAAATTGATGCTGGTCCGATAGCCAGTCGTCTATGGTGCTTTGCCTACAAAACCCTAGAAAACTAACTGCAGTGACCAAATCCAGAAGGATGGGCAGTCATACCATTCTAGGTAGCGGGTTTGCTGGCATCAGACTCCAGACACAGCTGGAGTCTCATAGCCAGGAACTAACCCTCTTCACATTGCATCATGGGAACTGGACAAAGCACAGTGTGAACCCACATAATGTTCCAACACACCCCTAACCACTTCCTAGGGTGCTGTCCCCAGAGACCTGGTGGTTAAAGGGTCTGGCCCCTCTGACCTGCACAGGTCTGCTGGGGTGGGCAGCAGAAGAGGATGGACCAGGCTCTGGCCCAATGATCCAGACAAGCTCCATTCCAGATGTGAATACACACACACACACACACACACACACACACACACACACACATACACACACACACACACACACACACACACACACACCTGCAGAAGCAGCACTCTTGTTTAGAGGCAGCATCCATCTTTTGGTTATCTTCCATATGTGAAGACCAGAGAGAGTGTGAACACACTCTCTCTCTACTGGAAACATTCTAGGTGAAAAGCTGCATCCATACTTTGGTCATCTTCCAGATGTGAACACACTCTTTCTCCTTTTATAGGTAACACCCTAGGTGAGAAGCTGCATCCATCATTTGGTCATCTTCCAGATGTGAAGACCAGAGAGAGTATGAACACACTCTTTCTCTTTTATAAGAAACGCTGTAGGTGAGAAGCTACATCCCTGCTTTGGTCATCTTCCAGATGTGAACACTCTTTCATGTAAGAGAGGTACTCTAGGTGAGAAATCGCATTGGTCCGTTGGTCATATTGAAGGGAGCATCTTCCCCTTCTCACAACATTTTGTTCCCTTCTCAAAATGCCCAACACCTCCAGAAGAAAGGAAGCAAGTTGTTACTTCTCTTCAGTTATCCCCCTGCCCTCTATCACTACCATTTTCAAGGCAAGAGTCCTCAGCTCAGCATGCCCTCTGGCTTGGGTGGAGTTCCATCTCAGCTCATAAGTCTCTCTTACAATTCTCACTTGCTCTATTAGTTAGCAAACATCTGAGTCTTTGCAAATTGATGTATGTGATAGACAGATTCTCCAGACGCAGCTGTTAGGGCAGAGGCCTTCTCTGTACAGCTCACAGGACAGTTTGGAAATATCTGGTCCTCCAAAGAACTTGAGTGGTTCATAGAAAAACAAGAATGTCCTCAGGCCAGGATTTGGTGTCAAGGCAGGCTTTAGCACTCAGAGTACAAAGATGCCAGGGTTTGCTAACTATTGAACCTGAAAATAAATCCAACTTCACTCTATCCAACTCTGTCTCATTCCTGGCAAAATGGAAGCTCCTAACACCTCATTCTGTCCTTTTAGAGTAATAATCTGACCCAAGAGAACTCAGAAAATCTCAGTGATATCAGACTTCAATGTCTCTGCTGAATGGGGCACCTAGATACAATATCTAGGCATCTCTTCTTTGCCACAAGAATCCAACCAGGAATGATGGCCTCTCTGGAAAGGACACCAAAGTTTTGACATTAGTACTTCAGAACTGCTGGGTGGTGTAAGATGAACAATGAATGGTATAAACACATGGACTTGGAATAACAGAGATTGACCAAAGTAACCTCCTCTTATACTTGTTATAGATACTCCATGTAGAACTGTCTTATTTATATATGCCCCATTTACATATACATTCCTTATAGATGGGGTAAAACACCTAGCATTTGATTCTTTGGTGAGAAGCAATATTGACTCACGGATCATCTTCCACATGGGAATGTTCTCTTTCCTGTGAGAAGCTGCATGCATCCTTTGGACATCTTCCAGATGTAAATTTTTTCTCCTGTGATCCTGCCTTGGCTGTTATAGATCAAATCATTTTGTCAGAGTCAAATGAGATCTACACTTTCTGGCCAGTCTCAACATTGAAATTTAAGGCCTGAACAATAAAAATGAAGAGAGAGAGAGAGAGAGAGAGAGAGAGAGAGAGAGAGAGAGAGAGAGAGAGAGAGAGAGAGAGAGCACAGTGGGGATGGGGTGGAATAAAATAAGAAAAGTACATGACTTACATCATGATATTGTCAAAATGAAACCCATCATTTTGAACAGTGAATATATGCTAATAAAACAAAAGAAACATAAAAATACAGTGAAATTAACCCCAAGAGTAGAAGTCCAGTCATCTAGCCTCCCAGCTGTTCTCTGTGACAAATGCTCCTTCCTGCAGTCATTTCTTCTAGGAATTATCTTTACATCCTTGCTAATATCTGTCATATGCAAATTAGTCTGACCCAAGATGCTAATGCTGATAAGCTGAGGTCATCCTCACTGACAGGAGGCAGCCTTTGCTTCAGGGATGAAGTTGCTATGCCCAGACCTGGCACCTACAGTCAGAACTCATAAACTCATATACTCAGCATTTCAACACTGTTTTTCCTCGACTAATTTTCTGCTGTGGTGCCTGTGCCTGTGATCATGCCGTACAGAACCAGAGAATCTGTGATATTCCGGTCATAATGAACAGCCCAATGTTGTCTGAGCCAATCTCACCTGATAGGGAGAGTCTACTGCTCTGTCTCTACAAGGGCTCGGACCATTCCTTCTCCAGGGCTGATAGGGTCAGGAAGTTTGTTGCTCTGTAAAAGAACCTGCTTCATTTTACACAGCTCTGAGCAAGAGTTTCTATTTCTGTTTCTCTTGCTTTTGACCATGAGCTAAAATCTGTGCTAAGTCACAAGGCTTTCTTGTTAGATCCCACATTGAGAAGACGACTCAGCGATTTTATTATGAGCTCATGCCCTAAACCAGGGGCTCTCCAATTCACCTTTCACAACCAAAACCACTTCCCGATCCAAACTCACCCTCCTCTCCTTTCATCTGGTCTTCACCTGAGATCCTGGATGAAGTCCCAATTTCAGAATATGTTGCTATTTTCCATTCAAAGAACTGTTGGTGAATGCTGTAGTGCAAACCAGAGTAGCTGCGGCCTGTGTTGTATGTGTTATGCTATGGGTCTGCTTGCCCCATGCACTCGGACATCTGAGCCAAATCTAGGCCTATGGACTAGTTTGCATAAACCACAAGAAGGAAAACTGAAACCCACAGAGGTGTCTCCTAATCCTGTGTGTGTGTGTGTGTGTGTGTGTGTGTGTGTGTGTGTGTGTGTGTGTGTATGTGTGTGTGCGCGTGTGCCCCTGCAAAGATGGGGAGGTTTATGTTGGGTGTCTTTCCCTGTCACTTCCACCTTATTTTTTTGAGAGACGGTCTCACTGAATCTGGTAGTCATCAATTCAGCCACACTGGCTATGCAGTGAGCCCCTGGGGTCCTCCTGCCTCTACCTACCGGTACTGAGGCTAAAGGAACATGCTGCCGAGCCTGACTTTTTATGTGGGTGCTGGAGATCAGAACTCAGGTCATACTTGTGCAGCCAGCACTTTATCCACGGAATCATCTCCCTAGCCCTCCCTTAATCTTTAGCAAAGCATTTTCCTAAGTCATTCATGAAGAAGGAGAAGAAAACAGGAGGGTAATGGTAAGAAAGCAAGGAAAACATTGAAAGAGAGAGTAGATGGAAAATGGACTAAACTTCAGCTGCATCTGAAGGCAGCTGTGATTTTCAACTGTTCTGGGCAGAGAATGAGCAGACAGAATGAGTAGCCATAGCCAGTCCTTCTGTAGAGTTTGGTGTCTACATTCTGTGGCTTTAATGTCATCAGGAAAGGGCTCTCCAGGACTCATGGATCTTTGTTATAGGATCCCCAAGAGGCCCTCGTGAGGAAGTGAGTCAGGACAACATCCTCACTTGTCCTTAGCCAGCTTTCAAAACTGGATTCCACATGGCTTTTTGCACTTGTAACTGAACATCATTCCTCTGACATTCCCTGGCTCAGAATCCACTATGACTTCTCTCAGTATTATCAGATCTACACTTAACTGGCCTGGTCCCTCCCGGCCTAGAACTCCTTGGATCACTGGCACAATAAGAACATGCTGTTCCCTTGTGTTCAAGTTCAGATTTTCTGACATGACAGCCAGCCCTTCCTCGGCCAGAGGGCTCAAGATGTATGCCTGTGTTTTGAACTGATTGTGCCCCTCCACCTACTACGTTTATGTTTAACCTCTTACCATATGTGACTTCTTTTGGAGACGGAGTCTTTATAGGATTGGGGTCAAATAGGGCGATACAGGTAGGGCCCAAATTGTAGAGTTAGTACTAATAAAAAGAGACGCCAAGAAGTTTACTTGCTCTTTTTCCATCATATGGGGACATAGTGAGGAGATGGCCCTCTGCCAGATCTTGATCTTAGACCTTCTAACCTCTAGAACTATGCGAAAGTAAGCCACGATCCGTGCTGTTTGGTCATGGTAGTATAAGCAGACTAAAATAACAGATTGGTAAAACATTTCTTTGTCTTAGCTCCCATGGATACACCACTAGATATGTACAAAGGATCTTCATGTGAATTACTGGACCAAGGTGCAGGACAAAGTGTATACTAAATTATGCATTCCACCAGACTGACAATAAAGGGAAGGTTATTTATGCAGTGTCATACTGAGACTGACTGGACCAACTAGCAATGTCCTCCATAGGCAGAGGAAGTGGGTGACATGGGAGTGCAGTATGCCAGTCTTGGTTGCCAGTGCTTCTTCATTCCAGGACAAAACAGAGTCCTCATGTAGAGGCCTCTTGTGTGAAGAAAGTACTCATGCTAAACAGATTTACAGATCAAGCTGGTCAATGACAATTCTTCTTTCTTAGAATTCTTTTTTTGCAAAATTCCCTTGTCATTTCTCACCAATTCCTCATTTTTCTCTGTCGATGTGGAAACTTCAGGTCTCACAACTAAGTTCTAAAATAAATGACTTATATGTGACACTTTATGTAGAAGGTAATGAGTGCCTGGGGGATAAGGTCTTCAAGATTTTACAATAAATGCTCGAGCAGATTTCACAAAGGACTGAGAACAAGGGGAAATTGCTTCTCAAGAACATTGCTAGCAACTGTTTCAAGGCTGAGAACAACTGGACATATAATCAGAGAGAATCCAGCCTTGATTATAGTGGATTACAGCACGAGCCGTCATCATCCCGCTGTAATTATGTGTCAGCAGTTAGGCCCTCATATTCTTTTTTTAGAAAATTACTACAAGCTTTACAGGAATAGATCCAAGATAACAAGAGACATAAGGATCTCAGCAAGAACCCTTTGTGACTAAGGAAGTGGCATTGTGCCCTTCTCCAGTTCTCCGTTGCTAAACTCTCCCAAATTAAACCCTCACTGCCTGGGACCTCAAACTATAAAGCATTGCATAATTTTTCTTCTTTATCTCTCATTCCCATGTAAACTAGATGCATTCCTTCAGAGCGTACATGTGTTAAAATTCTTTAAGATAGCAAAAGGTATCAAACAATACTTGCTTTTTTTACCAATGCAAACAGATACCTCTTAGAGTTGCCTTTCTTGCCTAAAACTTGGAATGCTGCTGTCATTTACCAAAAATGATGAAAGTGCTTTATTGTTTTGGACAACAGAAATAAATAAAAGATGCTGCTTAAAACGAAATTGGAAGATGTTTTACTGTCCTGTGGTTTTTAAGAATCTATGATTCTTCAAGTCAGTGCCCATTCCATTAACTTCCAAAATGATTCCGTAATGGTTGTACCTGATCCTCTTTTACCTGGGTGCTATGAGCCAGGTGTCTTCCACTCCTGTGTTTATCTTCTAGAGAGAAGCTCACTGGTAAAACAGACAGTTCACTTACAATTTTGGCATGGCTTTTTGTAAAGTAAGGGGCATGACTACATTACCAGTGGTACACAGATAATTAAGTAACTGTGTCTTCAGCAAAGTGCTTACTGTCCCTGTAAAAAGCACACAAGGAAGATGCAAACTCACTTTAATCTCCAGGATAAATTTGTTTTCAGTAAAAATGTGTATCTGAGTTTCACAAAGTGCTCATTTCCAAAGCAGCAACCCGTTGCTCACATGTCTTCATTTGAAAATAGAGCTCAAGGGACTATCTCCTGTGAACTAGTCTGAGTCACAAAAACACATAAGGGCTCAAAAACAATTTTTTAAATGTCATAGGACAGAGTTAGAATACACAGAATACACAGAACTTACATTTAGACGATCTCCAAATTATTAAAGAGTAGAAGTATCGTAATTTCTCCAAGTGCTTTGATGATTGACACCCCATGTGCTTGTGGTCCACGTACCTAGTTCCTTTCTAGTAGGATGTGGGAGGGACTGACTCGACCTCTGCACTGTGAAAGCTGCAAGCCATCTTCAGATTTTCCTCATCTATGGAGAGGACAGGAAAGTACTATATTCTTAATCATTTTGGCTTCTTACATCCTTCTGCCTCATTTTTAATGTCTAAAATGCAGATCATCTCTCCTACCAAAATCTTCTGTAGGGCTTTGCAGGAGATGAGTGACATGCAAGGGGCTTACACTGCAGTGTACAGGTTACCATGACGATCGTTACTCAAGTGCGTTGTTTTCCCATCCTTCAGGTTCCCACTCGTACACTTCTTTGTAACTGGCTTGAGGTATGACATTTTAAAGCCAATCAAGATATTTTTATCAATATTTTATCCCACAGCATGGCACACAAACATTTGTTATTTATGTTCTCCTTTAGACACCCATTAAGTTTACTAGTTTTAAAGTGCCCTTTAAGCCTTGTTTACAATGGCATCCAACTGTTGCAATTTAGAATTTGTACTGGGGAATGATGACTACAGCTGGGATAAATCTCTTTCTTTCCATTTTTTTTTAACAACCAATTCTTTTGAGTAGCTTTTATACACAGCCAAGATTAGCATTGTTTGGGGTTGCCTTAGGAATTGTCCCCAAACAATTTTCTGTTTTCCAAAATGCAGCTACTCAGAAAATGTCTTAGCACATGACATTTGAATTGAAAGTTGCTATCTTTTCAGAGGAATAAATAACTTTGAAGAAAAAAATAAACAGGCTCTCACTTTACATTTTCTTATGCAGGTGATTTTCACTTAGCTTTCGCCCTAGAGAGATTTTGGGAGTTAACAATCTTATTACACACATACAATTTACATCCAGATCTGTGTATCCTTCCTTAGGTCCAAACACCCAGGAATCAAAAATATTTGGGAAAAATGTTTCTGCTTCTCACCAGTCCCTTTACCTCCGTACCCCAGTGTCCTCCTTTCAGGAAAGATTTCTACAGAGCCGGTCTTGATGGCATATATCTTTAATCCCCACATTTGGAAGGCAGAAGCAGGTGATCTCCGTGAGTTTGAGTCCAGCCTCATTTAAATAGTGAGTTTCAGGACAGCCAGGGATATGATGGGAGAGACCCTGTCTCAAAGAAACCCAAAAACCAAACCAACCAAACTAAACTAACCAAACAAAAAAACAAAACAAAACAAAAGAAGGGGCACACAGTGTAAAATTATGCAGAAACTTCTGGAGAAACTTTGCTCTCACTGTATGAACGAATGCTTGCCAGCAAAGTGTGTAATTATGATTCTTGCCAGGTTTTACTGAGTTTAGTATTGTCCAGAGACATTGGAGCTTTTGTAATCAAGATGATCCTCAAAAAATAAAAAAAATAAAAAAAAAAAAGTCTCACTGAAAAATACATCGATTTTTTTTTATTTTGGTATTGTTAATGATTTTCTGAGCTCCAACTCAGAAAAGCACATTCTTCTATCTACCATCTACTTAGGTAGTGTTTATTATTATAAATAATCTGATGATTTAAAGAGGGATGCACAGGTTATATGCAAATACTAAGTCATTTTATAAAAGTGAGCTGGCATCCACGGGTGTTGGTGTCCACAGGTAATGAATGTGGAGTTCCTGAAACTGGTCCCCATGGATACTGAGTGATGACTGTATATCATTTCATCTTTATTACAGGAAAAATGTTAACTCCATGGTACAGATAAAAACAACAACAACAACAATAAAAAAAAAAAAAAAAACCCTGAAGTTCAAAGTAAGTTACCTTAGCATCAGATCACCAAGAGGTAAGAAAAATGGTCACGTTAAACCACGTGATTTTCCTTAGGGTAACATTCAAACAAAACATATTAACATGACTATGAGTGAGACTAAGGGGAATGCTCATCTACCATTTGGCTTTATAATATTAACAATACATCTCTAAATATTCTTTCATTAGCACACAGTTCGAAAACCTCTTGAAATTCTTGTCACATCCTTTCCTTACATCACCAGCCTGAAGCCCTTCTCATATTACCTGTGATGGGACCATTTATTACCAAGCTCAGGGGCTGAGATACTCAGTTTTCTCACAGTACATTATTTTTACATTTTTAAAGGATTTGTGCTTATGCTAAAATAAGCAACAGCCCATTTGATACTGGCTTATTTTCAAAATAAAAATGATGTATCATCTCAAAGGCTGTCTTACCAAGGCAGTTTTTGTTCCCACTGATCCTAGGAGGTAGAAGATTTTATTTTCCAGAACCTTGAAGACTACTCAGCAGGCGACCACTCAGAGACACCCGATCCGGGTGATGGTGGGGGTGAGGGGGCGTTTGGGCTAAGGGCTGAGACATTCTGGGAGGGTGCAGGAGACCAGCTGCTCTGGAGATGAAAACACTAAGAAGGGAGTTGCTAATGGAGCAGTGGGGAGCTTGGCCCTGCCATACACAGTGCGAAAAGACTGTGCTATCCCCTTAGGAAAACATAACCTTCAAGAACTTATGCTTTATGTAAAGGTCTTTTGCGGGTAACACAGTTCAGAGAAGATAGGCTTAGAGCTAAGTTCTTTAAATGGAAGCTGGCTGGAGCTCCCTGAACTGCTAGATCTTGGATTTAGGCCAAATTTTAACCTTGAAAACTGGTCATGACTTTGCTTCGTACTTCATTCATGAATGATAAGACAGAGCTAGGTGCTTGGATCCTAAAATAAATCCGAACTGGAGAAAGTCACCAAAATGCCAACTTGTTCAGGCATAACAAGAACTCTGTCTTAAGGCTTGGAATGCCACAGCTGACCTGAAGGTGATCAGGGACCAGCTGCTGTAAGAGCTCACTGGCAGCTGAAGGTAGTTTGGCATACCAGGAATCCGGGTACTTGGAGGCTGAGGCAGAAGGCTTGCTGTGACTGCAAGGCCAACCTGGGCTAACTAGTGAGTTTAATTTATGCAGTAGATGAGTCCACATGAGGACAGATCAGACAGCTTCTTATTGAACAACTTGATGATACACCATCTTTATTTTGAAAATAAGCCAGTATTAGATGGGCAGTTTCTTGTTTTAGCAAAAGCTCAAATCCTTTAAAAATGTAAAAACAAAACAACAACAACAACAAAAACAACCAAAAACATACTGTAAGAAATGAGTATCTCAACCCTTGAGCTTGATGATAAATGATCCTATTGTTGATTACAAAAAAAAAAAAAAGCATTAGACACACTCTCAGTAGAAAGCTCAACCTGAATATCTGGATTGGAATGGCTTTGATTTAATTAATTAATTATTTAATTCAACAAAACTTCAAAAGTCCAGTTGATCAGTCAGAGGTGGCAGCTGTGGCAGTCTGTGTGGTCATCCTAGCCTTGGAAGACTGAAGCAGAAAGTGCCATGATGCATACTGAGTCCCTGTCTCACCGAGGGACTGAGGACTGAGGATAAGGAATGCTCACCCAGCATGCCCCAAACCCAGTGTTCAGTCTCCTGTATAGCAACAAACAGTGACAGCAACCGTGCCACCCAGTCCACTGCTTGTACTTCCCGTATCCATGGGGACGCCAGTGTTCATCTGAGACAAGAGTCTGAGGTCTAGCTGAAAAGTAAATGTAACTTGACTGAGTAAGGGACTGGTTCCTTAATTCCATTGGAACACTATCAGATGACATTCTGTCCAGTGATTTTGCTGACCTATAACTAGATCTTTGTCTCTGACCTGCAACTTAATGACAACCATAATCTTAGTTCCTTCATTTCCAACAATTTGGTAAGACTCACACTAAAGGTTCCTGAGAAAATACTACTACTACTTCCAAAATAGCTATAATTTCTTTCATCATTTGCTCTTTAAAAAAATGGAATTCTGGGCCTGGGATGACTCAGTTGGTTTGAGTCCTTACTGCTCTTTCAGAAGATCAGTTCTTAGTACTTACATTTAAAAAAAGCTCACAACTACCTGTAACTCCAGTATGAGGGGATGGGACACTCTCTTCTGGCTTCTGTGGGCTCCTGCATGCAAGTGATATCCATAAACTCACACAAAGCATTCATATACACATACTTAAAAATGCTTAAAAAGGATAAATTCTTCCTCAAACCTCTTTATTTTCATGACTTAATTTTAAAATCTTTAAAAAAAGCTGAGTAATTTAAATATATAGAAGTAATTTTTTTTTGTAAAAATGTTTATATTCTGTGTTGAATTCTGAGTTTTTGAACTTTGGTAGCCCAGTAGAAGACAAGTCTTTGGAAGCCTTCCTGTTGGTGTCCTGTATAAGGCGACATGAGTCCATAGGAGGGAATTTTCCTCTCTGATCTCTTCTTTACGGTTAGTTTATGGAGGCCAGCTCTTTGTTTCTTCTTCATTTTGCTTGGCAAGTTCTTTACCACTGTGCGACTTCATCCTCAGCTTTTGGAAACCACGGAGCACAGAGTAGTGTCAAACTTAAAATAGCTCCCAAATATTGTGGTTAGAGGCATGTCCCACCATACATAACTTAGTAAGTTTTCATTTTGTTGTTTTACAGTTTGTGTTTTGTTCTTCAGCAAAGCGACATGCAGATTTATTGAGGGAGTGTTTCAGAAAAGCTCTGTGCTTCCTTGGAAAGTTCTAGGCTCCAAAAGTCACTAAGCCATGAAGCCAGGGGCCTGAGGGGAAAAAAAAAAGAGGCCTAGGAAACATTTACTTGACCTATTTGTGCATTGGGCCCATTTCTACAGCATTCCAAGATTTAAATAATGCATGAGCCCTTCTCTATCCATTCTCATTAATTATTCATCCAGAAATATTATCGAGCATCCTACTCTGTGTCAAACACTGTCACAGGAGCAGCCATATAGAGAGAACAATGAAGTTTGTAGTTATAGTTAGTGGTTCCAGGTCTACAAACTTTTTTCTTGACATGATAATTAAGATTACTGTAGTTGGAAGGTCAATTAATCAAAAACTATTCATATTTTAAACATATTCTTTTACTTCTTATAATATTTAGCATTTATTATCTATAAATAAATACCTCATCACTTCATGATCAATGCCAGGATCTTATTTCCTTGAATTTGTACTAGCAGAGGGTTCATTAGTGTTTATGAGGTGCT